AAGGAGAGTATCAAATCTCACACATACATATTCTCTTTCTTTTTATGTTTTCCTTTTTTTTTGTCGTATTAATAAATGATTCCTAAATCTATCAGTTATACACTACAAGGTTATTGTAATCAAAACTAATGCCTAAAGGTAGTGAGTTCTACTCTAGTTTCCAACAGAAAATATGTTTCTTGTTGTATATTTAATCCGTATGGTCTGTCCGAGAGTCAAATCAATGTTTACAAAAACTAGACTGATGTTATTGTTTTTCCAAAACCTTTTCCGTTTGTTACTTGTTCATCATTAGACATTTTGTCTCCTTCAAATCAAGGTCTTCATATTTCCTATCATTAGCTTTTGCATAGAAGGTAGAAGAACTTCTTTTTTTTTCTTCTACTAATGACAATAATGTAACAAGGATAAATAAGACCAACCTACGTCTTAGATTTATTATGGAAGGAAAAAATAATAACATACACCCACGTACAATGAACAATATATGTTGTTCGATTCGGTCACTTAAACAGAATAACGATGATAGTTTATACATATGTTTGTTAACTAATTTTAGTTTCGTATAAGATTTTCTTTTTTTTTTAACCATTACTATGATTTGACTGATTTCTCCATGGATTTTGTCATGCATATGTTATGTTTCCTTCTCCTTTTTTTTATTGATGACGAAAGCTTATGTCGGAGTTATTATTAGAGTTTTACGTCATTTATTGAACAACATATAACGATTTTTTGTTGACGTCACTATATAGTACGACTGAAACTAACGGGAAAAAAACGAGAGACCTTGTTCGCTCGTCCTGGCACACATTAGTATATATATATATCTATATATATCTCTATATACATGTATGCATGTATGTATGTATGTATGTAAGCAAATGCTTTGATTTCTTTCCATTGATGGGCTTACATGTGACGTCGACTGTCCGTCGCGCGGTCGACGATGACGTCGTTGAGGAAAGAGAATGAGCGTATAAAAGAAAAGACAATACAGATTATATATATACACACGCTTAGTCTGTATTCGATTGCTGAATCAAGAGATAGTTTTTTAGCCAATAATCATCATTGGAAGAAAAAGAACAGAACTGTGACGTCAAACTGATGCATTCGTTTTCCTTTCTAATGTAATCGCATCTTCATTTGAGACAAAGTGCGTACACGAGAGACACACGCACATTTCTTTCCTTTATTCTTAAGTCAGATTTAGTTTATTCATATTCATATTCATATTCATATTTTTCTGTTTAACAGGGAGTTCAAACTGATCACGATAGTACAAGTAAAAGTGTTCGTTCATCGATCACTAGTTCATCAAATCTTGCAACTTCTTCATCACCATCTACATCGAAAATAATCGGAACAACGACGGCGCCGAATCCTCATTCCGTAACTAGTTCAGGTGGCAGTAGTGCAATGGTCACATTATCAACTCTTATTCCTCCATCTGTTGATGGTAAATTATCGTCATCATCGTCGACGTTAATACCTCGCAAGGATTCAAATGCATCGAGTTCAGGTGCTTACTCTGAAGTATCTCGTTCATTTGGTCATGAAGAAAACTCAACGGATTCATCATATGGATTATCATCAACTACTGCCACAACAATGACAGCAACAACACCTTCATCTCATTATGTTATTAAATGTAATTTGAATACAAAAACAACGACATCTAATCTAAATACTCCTTCAACGTCGATTTTAACAAATTTATCTCCGGTGACATTAACACCACGTGTTAAAGTAACTGTTCAACAACCATCAATAACAACTCGTTCATCACAATTTGATTCACCACCAGAATCAACTCTCTCATCATCATCTTCATCATTTCTTCGAACTCCAATATTAAGTAGTTTACCGATGTTTTCATCATCATCAATTATGACAACAAGTACAGCATCAAGTGCACCAGAATTTTCTATAAGTGGTACATCAAGTATTGATGATTCTGAAGAACTAGCATTATATGAACAATATCTTTCAACATCTCATGCTCGACAATCAAATCCTTCACCTGAAATGCGTAAAAAAACTTTTGAAAATTGGATTGAAATACAACAAAGAACAATACCTCGTAGTAAAAGTGAAGTTAATACACCAACCGAACAATCACAGCAGCAACAACAAATAACTAGTAGTCAAATAAAACCGGTAAGCAAATTTTTTTTCTTATATCTGACATTTTGTCAGATTATTGCTGTTTAACCTTCAGGACTATGTTATTGTCTCATTACTGATGTCAAAAAATCTGATTGATAGACAGATATCATTAGTTAAAACATCCCTGTTGTACTTGTTGATAGTCTATAGTAAAAGAAAAAAAAAATTGTTCATTTACATTATAATAGATAGCCGCAAAAATATAAAAAAAAGAACTAACTCATGTTTTTTTATATAATTCGATTAGCATTATATATATATATATATATTTGTGCTTATGTAGTAAACATATATCTCATGTTAGGATCGTCTAATGAATAAAAAGGAAAAGAAGACGACATTGATGAGAATCATGCATCGATTGTCAAGTTAATCCGCTTCAATCTTAGATTGTTTTCAATTGAGACTATGGTGTCCCATTTCCGGGCTATGAAATGATGTGGTAGGGTTTTTTGTTGTTTGTTGCCCTATGGCAAACAATAAGGAAAAAGAACGAAGAAAATAGCACAATGATGATAATCATTATCAAGTATTGCGACGTTTCTCTTCTACTTTTTGGTCTTATACATATATTTTACATGTGCACTTCTCTCGTTTTACATATTGACAAAATGTATCAATCGATTACATGTGTCAACTTCCTTGGAGACCTCTTTATTCTTTTACAAACAAATATACTTTCTTCTGTCTATTCGCTTTCTATATTCCATTGCTTACTTCTTGTTCTTCTTCTTCTTCTTCTTCTCTAGTTTTCATCTAATCGCACACCCACCCATAACTTTTTAATTCGCTTCGCAGGAAGAAACGAGAGAACATAGTGCAGCATGCCGTTTGTTGCTCTTTTTTTGTATGAGAACGCAAACGGACGCCTAGTCTTCTGCATTATAGTAGTACTTCTTTTCTTTCTTCTTCGTTTGCATCGTCGTTGACATTGTCGCCCGTCGCCATTTCATATTCACACAACTACACATAACATCGCACAAATGATCAGCAGTTAAGAATTGAGTGGTAGACAATTGTCGTCGCAGGTCGACGTTTTTACGCGTGTATATGTTTGCTTTTTTTCTCTCATATTGTGTGCTGGAAACACATTTAAATATTTCAATGTCATCATTACTCCATTTTTATCGCGCACGTTCAGCTACTACAATCAATCAACTTAAACCATTACGAAGTGTACGTTCGCATAGTCCCGATGATATTTTACATCGACAAAAGGTAATCTATAATAACAAAAAAAATTGAAAAAATAACATGCGATAGATTTTTTTTCTTCTCTTATTATAAACTAATTTATTTGAAAAACCTGCAAAGATAATAACAGAATCACAACAACAACAACATTTCTCATTTATCAGATGACAAAGAGAGAGAGGAAAAAAAATTAATTTTTTCATGTAATACTTTTTTATTCCGAAAGAATAAACACATTCATATTTTGATGACTTACCGTAAAAATGAATTCAGGTGAATAATTTGTTATTTTTACCTTCTATACATATAATGTTAAAAATACACACCGGTTAGCTTTTTAATCTAACATAATATACATAAATAATACATACATAAAAAGAAAGCCATATATAAAATCAATTTAATAGAATTTCATATACTTGATTTCAGTTAAAAGTATGATTATTTATGACATCTAATCATGAATAAAAACATATCTTATAATTTTTTTTCTTTCTAAATAACAAAAAAAATTTTTTCGCATGCAACTGTAAAAACATTTAATTATTCTTTAGATCTGAAAAAGTTATTATATTGTTGTTAATAGAAAAATAGATTTATTATTCTTTTGTTTACAATTAAGTCAGGAACCAATTTTCATATTGGTAAAAATTGATTTATAATCAATAGAAAACTATAGTCATTTCCTCTTTTATATCAATTCTATTCTAAGTATAGATTCTCTTTGTGTTTAGCACTTACATGATTAACTAATAGATTCTAGCAAATGAGTTTTTTTATTTTTAATAGAATTAAGTAATAATTATGACGAAAAAAAAAAAGGAGTGAGACATCTGGACTATAGATATGGATGAAAATGCTGTTATATATGTATGTATGAGAGTCGGATAGCAAAAAGAAAAGAAGGAACTCATACTGAACGGGTAATATGATGACGTCATTAGAGAGCCTTATTACATATGATATGCGAGAGAAACGTAGAGGCCAGTGATGACGTCGGTATATGTTCAACGTTTCGCTCTCGCATTCTCTCTTGAAGAGAGCTATAAAAAATACAATAGAAGCGAGAGAAGAAACGCAGTAGACTATATCGATCACTACAGTCATCATCACTATAGATGCATCATACTAGAGTAGAAATTGTTTAGACGGGCATCTTCATATAGATGTTGTGTATGAATAAATGAAACTTGACCATAAAAGAACAAAAAAACTGATCGATTAATATTTATTTATTTCGACATTTTTCTCTCTTTTATTCTAGGAAACATCCACATACGTAAGTGAAGACGACGATTCAACTACTCGTGTCTCAGCAACAAGTAATTCATCAACAACAGAAATGACAAAAAAGAAAAAATCGAAAGCAGCAACGATGTATGTTCAATATATTTTTTATTGATAAATAAATTATTGATTTTGTTTTATAGAGCAAAAGATTTTAAATCACGTGCAGCTAATCTAATACGACGTCGTACAACAGAAGCAACTTTATCTGAAAAAAGTCTTATACCATCACGTGAAGATGTTCAATCATGGGAAGAATCATTTGATGCACTTTTACGACATCGATGTAAGAAAATTTATTTCTATTTAAATATTTCTAATTAATAAAAATTTTTTTAGACGGACAAGCTTTATTTCGTGCTTTTTTACGTACTGAATTTAGCGAAGAAAATCTCGAATTTTGGCTTGCATGTGATGATTTTCGTACGTGTAAAGAACCGAAGCGATCTACTAAAGCGAAAAAAATTTATATGGATTTTATTGCTATTGGTGCCCCAAAGCAGGTAAAATTAATTTTGTTTTTTAATAAAAGAAAAATTAATTATAAAATTATTTTTAGGTGAATCTTGATACTGAAACTCGTATGTCAACAATAGCTAATATTGATAATCCACCATTAGAAACATTTGATCGTGCTCAAAGACGTATACAAGGATTGATGGAAAAAGATTCTTATCAACGTTTTTTGAAATCCGAATTATATATTAATCTATTACGTCGTACTACATATCCAGCAGTTCAACGACGAACAACAACAGAAATAACAACAAAATCATCCTGACACCGGCTATCAATCACCTGCTAGTTCAGGATATTGTCTTATTCACTTTTGTGTCTCTTCTCTTCGATTACTATGTTATCAATCGGCACTGGTTGCCAATATCTAAAGAAAATATTTAATTGTCTATTCGACTCTACTCGTGCATCTAGTCAGAAGAGAGAAACAACTATATATATATATGTGTGTTTTCTTACGCAAAAAAAAACAATGACGAGTCTCGATAGCTGATGTCTCTCTGTGTGCAAAAAAAAAACTTTTTCTTTTTCTTTTTTTTTGTTCTTTTCGTTCTTTTTCTACTAGTGTCGTTATTTTCTTCTTTACCTGTACGTGTATGTATGCAGATGAGAACAGAACACGGATGATAAAAAAAAAAACTATAACTGATTAGCAAATAAGTGTTTTTATTTTAAATATGCAAATGAATATATTTCAATTGTTATATATATACATATGTAAAAAAAACGACGTATTTCAAATTAATTTCATTTTTATATTTAATTTAACGAAAAATTCAATTATTTTGCAATACTAAATGAATTAAAAATGTACATTTAAATTATTTTATTTTTTTCTAATTAATGATTACGAGTTTTTACTAGAATAAATAAACATTATGAAAACTCTTTTGTCTATATTATGATGATTGATTACTCATGAGTTTCTATCGAAGCGATAGAAATCATGAGAAAATTAATTTATTGCTCTTTGAATGTATTCTTTTCATAATATGTCGATTGAATAAAAAGACATATTTAACTGAATTATTGCATTCAATAATCTAATCTATTTGCTTAATAATATTTTCAAAACACATGTCGAATAGCTTTTCCTATTCAATAGATAAATAATCAAATTATTTGGGTTTGTTTTTACAGTTTGAAGATAGAGTTCGCCATATATAAAAAGTCTATTGGTTAAACAATGCACCATTTATAATTTACTTCACTTCAACGGTTCCCTTAAAGCGAGACAACACCAGCAAATATCTGTTTTGTTTTTCTAAAAAAGAAAATACTATTCCATAAAAAATGCAATCATTACAACGAACAATATCTTCAATGAATTCAACTAATTTTACCGATCCAAATTTTCTATCAACTAGCTCAACAACTCCTTCTACACTTGATGTTATATCAAATGAAATTATTGATTATTTTGATACTCATCGTGAAAAAATTCCATTACTTATTACTGTTTATTTATTAACAATTATTTGGATACTTTATCTTATATTATACAATTCACGTACTCAAGGCATTATATTCTCATACATTTTAAGACGCTTTTACTTTAAAGATGCATCACAAATTAAATTCGATTCATTTTCAATATCATTTATATCGGGTTCAATTATGTTTAGAAATTTACATTATACAACTGGGAATTATGTTGTTTTTGTTAAAGATGGTTGTTTAGTTTTTCGTTATTGGTCAAAAGCAAAAGCAAATGCAAAAGCCGTGATACGTTTAAAAATTCAACTTTATCATCTTGATATACAATTCTTTAGTCCAATTCGTTCAAATACAGTTTCCGAAACAACTAGTTCAAATGATGATTTACATAGAGGATCAGTAGCTGGGTAGAATTTCTTTATGTTTTATTTAGATTATGTATTTGTTTCGTTTTTTTCAAAGAATTTCAACAAAAACTGAAGATATACAAAGTATTAATGCAATGAAAAATAATGAAGAAGGAGCATTTATTAATAGACTTCGAAGTCTTTTTCCAGCTATTGAAATAAAAGTTGAACATGTTAGTTTTAATTTTTTATTTTATTGTCACAATATTATTCTATTTTCTTATTCTAAAATAGGGCAGAATATTTATTGGACATGATACAATACCATATGGTTTATCAATACGTTTTAATACAATGAATAGTACATTTACAAGTCAATCACCATCAAGAAATTTACCGGATATTGACTTAATGACACTGATATATAGTTTAACATATAGAAATCTTCGAATACAATTTTGTTCAAATAAGAATTATAAAGGCAGTTGGATAGAAGAGTAAGAATACAGCAGTACTAGACCTTTTTTAATTTATTTGTAACTGCAAAATGATTAAAAATCGATTATAATCA